GGTACATTCTACATATTATTAGTTCACAACAACAAGATTCGAAAGTCCTTTTACTTTCTTAAACTCTATATCAAATCAGACGAACAAATTGAAATGGAAGGGAGTATGAGAAAAGAGAAATGTAGGAAAACAGTTATTTTTTTTTTTTTTTAAAAAAGAAACACTAAAAAGCTACAACCAAATGAGTTCTCTTCAAAGAATTCATTGAAACTTTTCATTCTGCCAGAGATGAAGGTAGCAGTCATTAGCAAACACAGAAATGACTCAGATGAGTAGGTACAATTAAGAAGGTTGAAATTCATCAAACACTATCCTTGGGAGCTGTAGGTGAGAGAGCCTTTCTTATTCCTCCAAAAATATGATATCACACATATTTGCCCATCAACACAAGAAGATCAACCAGATCTCATCAGGATAGCTTAAACGGCAACGTAAGATAGAGGAAGTTCTACAGTTGAGACTTCAGTAATCAAAGCTTGTCCCAAATCACCATACATCTCCTAGAAAAGCTCTAAGCATAGCTTCTAGATCTTATGAAAGACCCCTCTTTTGTCAGAAATGGGTTCATCGTAGTTGCGCTTCATCAACCTGTAGAGGCGATTTCATCTAACAATGCAAAAGCCAACAAATGGAAGTTGCAACAAAAAAGCTTCCTCAAAATTGCAAGGAAGAGAAACCTGATAAAGCTCAACACTGAAGTGTATCTAATTGTGCTGCCACACATCTTTATTTCATATAATATTAGCCTTATAAGGAGTGACATGGTCAGTGAGGATTCATATAGCCGACTCAACTTGTTTGGCGCTGAAGCGTTGCAGATGTCGTAGAATACCTTCTCTGTATCCAGAGAAAACGGAAACTATCATTCTGAATGCAGACATTTCATAAATTGGCATTCTACAGTACCAACTACACATCTTTATTTCATATAATATTAGCCTGAGATGAGCTTATAAGGAGTGACATGGTCAGTGAGGATTCATATAGCTGACTCAACTTGTTTGGCGCTGAGCGTTGCAGATGTCGTAGAATACCTTCTCTGTATCCAGAGAAAAAGGAAACCATCATTCTGAATGCAGACATTTCATAAATTGGCATTCTACAGTACCAACTACAACCTTTGTATTGTGAAGAATTCCAGAATCAATTTCATTTTTTGGCAAGTCGAAATTTTATTCATGAACAAAAAACAGTGAGAAAAATGTGTCATACGACTCAAACTCATTCAGGCAAAGACGTCTATCAATATTGTCCAGTTATTAATAATAACTTTTTTTTTTTCTGTTTGCTTCTATTACCATTATCTTTATGCATACTCTGTCACAAGCTTCATCGATCACAAACACGAACCAGATATCTATGAGGACAATATAGACTTTATAGGTAATATGAACCACTGAAATATTTTGGTTTTCAATATATGTAAAATTATATCATCTGTATTGTGCTTGAAATATGTAATGTGTGTGTGCATATGAGCACAAAAGGCACTTGGATACCAGAGGCAGGATGAAATTGTAATGCGTACCAAGTTATACCTGAGATGCGCTGACGCCTTAACGGACTTAGTGACTGGTCCATCATACAGCCACCACACTTCTTTGCTACTTACTAGAGTTCACACATCGATTCTCCTCAACAAACAAAGTCCCTCAAGCTTTTCATCAAACCTAATCATTCTTGAAACATTTAATAAACAAATTGAGGTCACAATAGAAAGAGTTGCTTAGACAACAAGTAGAAAGCTGCAAACACATCACACATACCCCTCAGGTGTTGCCATTATATCAAATGCAGGGTGTATAACTTCTCATTGACGATGAAACAATGAGTAGAAACTAGCCAGTCCACCAAAACCAGCAAAGCATAGAGCTCAACACTTGATGCTCTTCAATTCCTGACTTTCGTTCTTAATCCTATGCAACTATATATGACAACGAGGTCAAGACGTCTAATATATCTAATGGTCTCATCCAATTTCACAGACATTACAGAGTGCTGTAAGGTGACCCTCCTCCAGCAGGATTTTTACATGTGAGGAAGTCCTTGGATCTGCTGACAGGGAACGTATTGCCTCTTTGAGAATAGGTCGACTCTTAATATTTAAATCTAGAAGAGACTCGTCATGGACCACCTTTTGTAGTAGCTCACAAGCTTCATTAGGATTCATATTTTTTATAAAGGCATCTATTAGCACTATGTAGATCGATGGATCGGGTTTCATATCCTTCCTCTCCATTTCCTGCAGATAAATCAGAGCATCATCTGGCTTCCGACACTTGCACAGACCACTAATGAGAGCCATAAAAGTTATTCTATTTGGAGAGCACCCATTTGCCTCCATATTGACCAAAAGACTAATAGCATCACTTGGTTTGCCGGCATTGCATAACCCATCTATTAAAGTGGTGTAAGTGATAACATTGGGCTCCCGTTCTTTTACATTCATCCTAGTGAGATATGCAATTGCTCGATCTACATCACCATTTTTGCACCACCCATCAATCAGTGAGTTGTAGGTAACAACTGATGGAATAAGTCCCTTAGCCATCATTTCATCAAGAAGATTCTGGGCGTCAAGTACCCTTTTGGCCTTACAAAGCCCATTTATCATAATGTTATAAGCAACCACATCAGGGCAATAACCCCGAGCACAGATCCCTCTGAAAAGATTCAGTGCATCATCCAACTGTTTAATCTTAACAAGGCCGTCTATGACTGCCGAATAACCAACTACATCAGGGAGAAATCCTTCATGAACCATGTCAGCAAGAAAGTTAGAAGCTTTGACTACTTGCCCATCTTTGCAGAGTTTCTTCATGAGCAGTGTGTAATATTTTATCCAAGGTTGATGGCCATGCACACGCATCTCCCTCACCATAGCAAGGGCGCCTGCATCATCCCCTTGCCTACATAAGCATCCAAAAATTGAGTTGTATGTGTAATGCGTCGGCTGAAATTCTGACTGTTTCATCTCATCCAAAAGCTTATAACACTCATTGAGTCTACTGGCCCTACTCAAGGAATCAATTAAATTATTGTAAAGTAGCACACTGTGTTTACAACCAATATGGTCCATATCTCTAAACAGGCTGAGAGCAATTTCCAACCTATCCACACGACACAAACCATCAATAACTATTTCAAAAGAAATGGTATTAGGACAAGCAAGTTCCTTCATGGGAAAAAGATTGTCCTCATTAAAATCACCACTAGAGTCAAGACCCGTTGATGCAGAAAGTAGACGATATGCTTTATCAGTTGAACCATTGTTAATAAGTCCTTTCAGCACAGAATTATACAACAACATCCTAGCTTTCAGATCCAGACTCTCATACCTCCCCTCAACTATCCGAATCATGTCTCTTTCATCACGCACACAAGACATAAGATCACTACGTATTTTAATATCAGGATGGACTCCTGAAACATTCATATCCTCGTACAGCTGCATAGCTTTCTCAATCTCCTTATTCCTAGACAACTCTTCTATTAGCACGCCATAAACAGAAATGTCCAGCACAAAACCCAATTTCTTCATTTTATCCAACAGTTGCAACGCTTTATCTGTTTTACCTTCCCTCACAAAACCATGAATCAAAACAAAACATGTCTTCTCATTTAAGCTAATGTTAAGCTCTTCTATCCTCTCAACCAACTCAAACGCCTTATCCACCTTACCCCACTTACTAAAAGAAACTAACAAGATCGACAAAACATGTGCATCGACCAATCCCTTTTCGTGCATCTCATTAAAAACAACCAACGCATTTTCAAAATTCCCCGCATTACAGTAACACTGCAAAACTGGCGTGTAAGCATACTTATCAAGCTCCCATCCATAGCTACACATCTCCTTCAATCTCAACTCAATTAAACCAACATCACCACCCTTAGATATAGCATCTAACAAACAATTATAAGTAAAGCAATTCGGAACACAAAGACCCGATTTTTTCATCTGATCAAACAACTCATTAGCTTCCTTAACCAACCCTTGACTACCCAAACACCTTATAAAGAAACCCAAACCACGAGGCGTAAAATAACACTGGAACTTAACTACATCATTAACTAACACTCTCATTGAGTCAATCTGTCGAGCACCTGATAAGCACTCTGCCATCAAGTTAAAAGTATGACAATTATGACGATACCCTTTTAAATTCGAAGCCCAATTAAAAAACAAATGAGCTATTCTCCAACTTCTAAGCTTTCTAAGAACAAATTCAACAATACAAGTAGTAATCTTTGAACCCAACTCATCAAGTTCTTGGCTTTTTGATGAATCAAGAGGCTTAGTGAATATGTGAACAAGTCTATCAACGATTCTTGAATCGTCTATAGAGATTGGGGGAGGAGAATTTATGGGTTTTTGGGAAGTGGGTGTTGAAGAAAATGGAGAAAGATTGTGTTTTGTAAAAGGGGTTTGAATCAGAATGTTGTGGTGAGTCCATATGTTGAGGAGTCGTTTGAGTGAATTGGAGAAAAGCCAATGGGGTCTTCTGATTCTACACAGAGCAGCCATTGATGTGTTTTTGGGGAAGACTGGTGAGTATTTAAGTGTGTAATGGAAGTGTTACTCCATTGTCCAAATTTCTTGGAACAAAAAAGTATGAAACAGAACGAGACCTTTTTGAGAGAGTGATCATTTTTTAATAAAAACGATTTCGTAATTAATAAATTTAAATTTAAAATTTTTATTTAACTAGAAAATTTGAACCTGAAACCAATAAACTCGAATCTAAAACCTTTAATTAACCAGAAAACTTGAACCTAAAACCTCTGATTTTAACCAAAGAATTCTACCTGTAATCTTTCAAAATCTCTCAAAGGGATTATTATCTCAATTGCATTCAACACCTTAGAATGGTCTTCTACATTATGACTATAATTCATCATTTGATAAGATTATATAAAAAAGAAAAGATTTCTATAGTTTTCACAAATTGTGAAGATTATAATATCTACAAGAGAAACACAACTTAAAAAAAGCCAAATTATATGTCTAAATAAAATTTTAACTTCAAATCATGATTTTAATCTAAGAACATTAAGAATCAGCTTTACATTTTTATTTTTTCTCAATCAAGATTTATCCAAGAAGCTCATCATAATTATACTTGACCAAACTTTTACATTTCAATTTATAAATTGTTCTATAACTTCTTCCAGCTTCATCATAAAGTACAACATGTTCCAGCAACCAAGTAACTTAGTATCTGTACTTGGTAGAGTAATCTTTTGGTGCTATGACTAGACCCCGGCCTTTTCTGGCACCGCGATACACAGTCTCAACAATGTCGATGAACTCCTGTTTATCCTTAAGCGCCCAGTTGATCTTGTTATTGTTCCCGGTGCCAAGATCAATCATAATGTGCTTGTTCCTGAAGAAGAACATGATGGTGGATGGATCATACAGCTCGTACATCGTGTTAAAATCAGGAACCTCGGTGATGTCAACCAGGTAAATCACAGCAAAGTTCTTGATCGTCTCCGCAACTGAAGACAACACCTCATCCATCTGGAGTCCAAGAAAAAATATGCAATCAAAACTACGGATTTACAAGACACAGTTAAGACGCCTAAGACACGGCAAAGAAGTGTAGAGATGTGCCATAACTTGAACATAGATAAATTGTGCATCATTTGATATGCAAAATTAACAAGACACACTCAGATCCATGAGATGAAATACATTTCAAGAAAAATGAAGGGCTATCAACCACTCACTCTTTCTTTAAAAAAGCACTAATAATGTGAAATCAGTTCAAAGCAATGGTTTCAGATTTCTATCAATGGCAGGACGATCCCGAAATTATAGTACTGAGATATATGGCTCACTAAATTGCTGCTTTTATTTGTTTTTAGGATGAAGTACGATGGGCAAACATTGTTGGAAGATGTAATAGAGGATACATGGTAAAAATAAAACATGTAAACAAATATTAGCATATTACCATTTATAGGTGGACGAGTGAGATCTTATGTTACTAATTGTAGTCCTGTATGAGATCATACACAGCCTCGTTATGTTTGATTCCACATTTTTGTTGTCTCTGCTTGTTCTTTTCTCAATTGTTTTCACCATCACTTCTTTTCTTAATTCTAGTCCTGTTGTCATTGTTGTTATTCTGAGAAAATAACAAGATTTGGATCATCCTAGTCCATGATCTTCAACCTCAATAGCAGCTTCTAACACTTTTACTATCCTCGACTATGTCGTTCCATAATCCAATACCTAAACTTAATCAGTAAACATTATCACCCCAATTCACCAAATAAGACCATATAGATTAGCTTCCAAAGAACTTTTACTTCAAGTTAATAAATTGGCAGTAAAACAGTTCCAAACTAAAAGGACCGGTTCACCCACCAAATCGATTCAGTTTCCATTACACAATATCTCATGAGACATCTGATTTCGGAGAAGGAAAACATATGTAATACCTGCCTCAAAGTGCACTCTGCAGGACTTAAATTCCAAACTCATTGCCTTCTGTTAAATTACAAGTGTTTCCAAGCTACCTTTCTTTTTTCTTTTTGAAAAGTGAAGGGTAGCTATAACAAAGAATCAACAATCCTCAAACAGCAAAATTCCTTCTCTTTTCCACAGGCATTTTTTTTTTGAATCACTGGAATAAATAAACACAGAAGGAACCCAAAACAAAACTAACACACCAATTTGCGGCGGATGTACGTTTTAGGTATGGTTGAATTCATAAATCTATTTAATACGTACAAATACTAATATAGAACTCAGTACGTTCAAAAAGCGTGAATCTAGAATCCATAAACATCAAGTTCTGGATCCACCTTTGTGAATACAGTAACACTTTCAACTCCACATCAAAAGATTGCAACTTAATTTTACAGAACTTAATATTGAAAGCAATAAACTACAACTCAACTCCAAACTAGCTGGGGATCGGTTGTATGGGTCCTCTATATCCACATATTAAAAGGATTCATCACAATTACGGTAACATCCAATCTACTGCACCACTCGCCCTTTATCTTGACTTTGGACTGACCATGCCTTCCGAAGCTCAACGCAGTTATATTCAGCACAAATAGATAAATAGAAACTACTATCCCAACACTCTATTTGCATCAACAATAACACAATCAGGTGATTCAACCCAATAAAAACACTAAATCAATAACCTTTTTCTGCCATAATCAGTTAAACCAACAGGAACAACAAATTAATAAGACTTAGCGATTCAAACAGAGTTATCCTTCCAAATAATCAAGCAAATCCCAAACCAGTTGTGTTCTAGCCTGCTCCATTCTAGCCATTAAAGTTCCCTCTTTTATCAAGTCATCCAACAATTCTTCTTTTAAGAGAAAAAAATACAACACAAGTAAAGTTCAATAGCTTATATCTAATTCAAAACTAGTTCAAGTCTACTACATGACTCCCCTATATCTATTCCAAGATTCTTCTTTTTAGTTAACAATCCATAAAACAAAAAAAATCCAGAAATTGACAATTGTTAGTTGAGTCTACTACATGAAAGTTCCAACATTCTTCTTTTCGCTAACAACCCAACAAAATTCATATAAAAAATTGACAATTCCATGTTGAAAAATGCTCATACCATAACTAGTTGAGGCCTATTATATCAATCCTCTATATCTATTCCAAGATTCTTCTTTTACTAAAAACCCAACAAATTTCTTATAAGAATTTCAACTTTTACTAAAAACCCAACAAATTTCATACAAAAATTTAAAGAAATTCACAGTTATATGTTTAAAATAGGTTACCTGCATACAAGTATCATCCCAATCATGGCCAAATCGAATAAGTACAAGGCGTTCTTCTTCCGCAAGGATAGCTTGATCCACAGCCCATCCAGAGTGAAGATGTGGTAACAAATACGACATCTCTCTCTCAAATAGTAGCTGATTTCGATCTTTTTATGCAGAAAAAATGAAGAAAAAAGAAACAGAGAAGAAGCTTACAGAAACAGAGTGCTGAGGTCGATATGAATAATGTTAGGGCTACTCGTAGAATCTAAAAATCGGACGATCGATAAATAGAAATTTTAATTTTTGTAAAAATATTCGTATTATGTTATTGATTTTTAATATTAGATTAATGATAAATTGATAATCTATTCGAAGAGTAATAATTTATTATTTTTATTTTCATATAAATATTAAATATTAATTTCAATATTTTATTAGTTACTGTCTTTTTCTTTTAGCCTTCAATTCTTATTGACATTGATCAACATTTTTTCCCCAATCAAACATTTTGCGTAAATAAAGTAATATAATAATGTAGATTAATTCAAAAACAAATTTCAGGTTTGGTAATACTCATGATTTAAAATTTATGTTTTCTCTTTTCTATTGCATACTGATATAAATTTAAAGATTTTAAAATAATTTATTTTTATGTTAAATTGTTATATGTAATTTTCTTAAATATCTTTATTTTAATTTTTTTTTCACAAATAAAAATTAGAATTAAGAAGTGCATCTCATTATTACATGAAGCTTAACGTGGAATATATCTTAAATAATAACAGAAAAATGATTAGTAATTAATATAACACACTATTTTCTTTATATTCTTTTTTCTCAGGTAAAATGATATATAGAGTTAATATTTTTTTTTCTAAATTCATATCAAAACTATATTTTCTTCGTCTTAATTTATTTTTTTTAAAAAAACTTTATATATTTAAAAATTATGTAAAATTTGTAATTATAATAATTACAAATTTATAATAGTTACATGACATATAAAAATATTAGGTTGACTCTCAAAATTTTATTAATAACACGTAAACGAAGACATGCAAAATAACATATATTATTTGAAATGATATTAAAATACTATAAATCACAATAATTAAAATTATGTTTTGGCTAATACAGAATGTTGTGTGTAGTGTGTATATTTAGATATATAATAATAACCTTTTATATGAAATTAATTGTTTTTCATAACTATGATGAATATAAATTTTTTGTGAATCTAAGAAGGAATTACAAAATACAACAATTGAGTAGATCGAATGTTACACTACTTTAAGAAAAAGAAAAAAAAGTATTTTAATTTTTTAATGTTATTAACTTATTAGTATATTAAAAAAATGTAATTTATCAAAAATAATAATTTTTTATTAAAAAAATGAACAAATATTTGAAAGTCCGGTTGTGACAAAAAAAATATAAATAGAACGATAAAAATCTTAATACTTTGAGAAAAAGGATGATTATCAAAAAAATTGCATTAAAATGAAAAAAAAATATGTATTTTGAACTACTTAAAATACAATACTCAAAAAGTATTAGCTTTAACACTATCAGATCAAAATTTGTTGTCAATAATTTTTTATCATGTCTTTTTTTTTTCCTCAAGTATAATTTTAACAATATAGTTCCACAAAATATAAAAAAAATAGTGAATTTCTTTTCTAACTAAAAAATATATTATAATTGCGATGAGTCATATTAAATGAAGTTGGTTTAGAAATGTAATATTGATTGTCATGGTAGAACAAGGGTTAATTGATTATATGAGTGTATTGTACGTGTAGTCTATGAATTTAATTAAGTTAATCATTTTTTTTAATCAAAACATAATATATATAAATTTTTTTTGACAAATTCATATAAAATTTTAACTCATAAATTCAAATTAAAATCAGAATCTTCAAGATCCACAGTTTAGATATTATGTTACAAACCAATAACTAGAGTCACTCAAAAACAAGAAATCAAACACTAAAACCACTGTCTTCAAGTGCTTGGCACCAATCAATACCTCTTAGATTATTATGAAGACCACTTAGAAGTCCTCTTCAAGAGCTCTACGCGTTTCATTCTCTCAGGAATCTCCTTTAAATTTGGACAGTGATCGATACAAAGACCTTTAATGAGAGGCATAGCATTTGTGCCTAAACGCCATGTTTCTAGGTTTCGAAGATACTCAAGTTGAAGGAACTGTAGTTGACAGAAGCTGTTATCACTGCATATTATTTCTTTTCCGAAATAAGCTTCTTTTAATTGGAGATTCCTTAGGTTTGGCAACATTCCCAAAATAAGCATCGGATCTTGTGTCAGTTTTGAGTCAGTCAGAGTCATCATTGTGATGGAATTTGAAAACAGATTAGGCAGTTTCTCTATGCTCCCATTTAAATACAATTTCTGGAGCTTTTCACAATGAATTACAAATTCAAGGGATGGGAATGATTCATCAAATCCACAAAACAATTTGAGTGTGTCAAGGTTTTTCAAGCTGTTAATGTTGTTTAGAGAGTAAGATTTGTCAATACCACTCATGCTTAATTCTCGAAGATTGACTAAATCAACAGGATCAATATCTTTCCATTGATCACATTGGATGCCTTGAAGAACTTGAAGATTAGTGAGTTTGTTTATATGTACCAGGGGTTTTATACACCGAACAACTAAATGTCTTAAATTTATCAGGTCAGTTGTCTCGGGGGGTAGTTGGAAAGAGTATGCGCCAGCTACGACAACAAGTGTCTGCAGATTCTTCAGGTTGCCAATGGAAGAGGGAAGATAATGGATACATGACAAACTTAACAACTTGAGGTGGTACAAACTTCCTATGACATCAGGTATAGTTGCACCAAGAATATCCAAGTACAACACATACAGATATTGGAACACACTCCTGAAGTTTATAAGACTCATCTTATGAAAACCTGGATCATAGAACATAATTGACCTTAACTTTAAGTTAGAAAGATCAAGTGAGAGGTACCTTTCTCCTTGATTATGTATGCCATGTCTGATACATGAAGAAGATATGGAGTGGCTTGTTGGATCATAAATGTCAAAGAAGTTTACTTCCAATGCCTTTTGTATCGCAAGATCATGGAGTAAATCATGAACCCTACATTCAGTAACTTTTTCCCAAAATGTATTTGCCACTTGAACCAAGCTTCTTCTTATCAGCTCATTCAAGAAGCCTTCAGCGACATCCTCCATTCTTTCTACTCCTCTTCTGGGTATGAAACCCTCCGCCATCCACAACCATATTATGTTATCAACCTTGACCACTTTATCTTCTGGAAAAATACCAAAGTAGAGAAAACACTGCTTGAGCGCAGTTGACAAATCATTGTAGCTTAATGATAGTATGTTGGAGATTTCAATAAATTTATCTTCTTTAATGTTCTTCCAAAGGTGATCTTTCACCTTTTTCCATTCGTTTAGCCCCTTTTTATGCGAAAGTAGTCCGCTCAATACAACAATCGCAAGAGGTAAGCCTCTACACTTTTCCACCATATCCTCAGCTAGACTTTCCATTTCTGGAACCATTGCTCGAACATCAAGTAGTTTCCTGCAAAAGAGATCCCAACTTTCTTCTTGGCTTAGGAAACGAAGTTTATGAACAAAACCTCTGTCGTCTGCTCTTTCAGCAACATCCTCTTTGCGCGTGGTAATAATGACTCTGCTGCCCTTCTCGCCATCCGGGAATGCTCTTTTCAAACTTTCCCATGCTTCTCTCTGCCATATATCATCAACCACTACAAGGTATTTGCGTTCTTTCAGTAGATCACGAAGGTGATTTTCTAGATCTCTTTCATCCATCTTTTCCAACAATCCTAGAGTTCCCATGGTGCAACCTTGGATGGATTTTATGATAGTCTTAAGAAGATCCATTGTGTTGTACTCTTGAGAAACACATATCCAAGCACGTGTAGGGAAGGTATTGACTATACGAGGACTTCTGTAGAGGTTTCTTGCAAGAGTGGTCTTGCCTAATCCGCCCATTCCATAAATGGAGAGAACGGTTCGACAAGGCTCTTCTTTGAGAAGTTGAGCTAGCAATGTTTCTACAACATCCTGAAGACCAACAAAAATGTAATCGTGGTCATCGACATATGAGGTAGTTCTCCTCAATGTTGTAACCTGATTACTTGGCCCTTCATCTCCTGAAATGATATTCGTAATACCATAAGTCTCTCGTTTGCGAGAGATATCCATGATTTTTTTCTTGAGTGATTTGATCTCCTTGGCGACATTGTAGAATTTCTTCTCCTTGCTACATATGCAGGCGCAAGCCTTGAGACGACTAGGACGACGTTTACCAGCCTCGAAGCTATAAGTTTCGAGTATAGCAACAGCATCATTAGCAATGGAGTTGATCTCAAACACCCATTGTTGAACTCTTTGATCTCCACATTGCTTTAGTTCTGCATCTCTGAGGAAAGACTGCATGAAGAGAAGCTCGTTTCGCAGCCACTGTATATCATCTCTTAGACTTAAACGTAGGTTAATTTCCTGTATAAGGAAATCACCCAATTTTTGAACTGCAAATGACACAAACGCATCAGCCATATTTTTTTTAATTGGAAACTAATATTTGGAGTTGAGAGATGAATAATATTGTTAGGATGGAATTCTATATTTAAAGCTTAGAAAGTTGATAGAATGGTAAAGAAGAAAAGTATATATTCTAAGCTACTAAATGCAAGCCAAGAATTTAAAATTGCATCACACAAGTTATGCTTAGTGTAGTGGTGAAAACAAAAGTTTGCCATTTAAGATTTAATATATATGTATGAAAAACTAAATTTATATAATTTTTCAACGAAGAATATCCGACAGAACACCTGAGCTATATGTGATTACTGCTTCATTGGCACAAATTGTGTGTTTAGAAAAGAAATCATGTCCCAAGGCACTAAGTCCCCCAAGGCAAACAACAACAACAAGTAGGGTCTAGATAAGGCAAAATGTATGAAAACCTTACTACTAACTCGTAGAGGTAAAGACTGTTTCAGAAAGACACTCGGCAATAAGTCTCGTTGCGAAAATATCAAGATATTTCTGTACTTTGTACTTTATTTAAAAAGACATACTATTATATTAGATGCATTATACATAAAATGTGCCCTTTAACTTGGCTTCAAATCACATTTATGTCCTTCAACTTTGGATGTGCACACATAGACACTTAAACTTGTATAAAGTTGAACAAATAGACACACATGTCCTATGTGTAGTGTGCCATGTAGGACTCATATGTTTATTTATTTAAAAGTTGGATAGTTAAAATGTCTATTTGTGCATTATGAAATATATATATATATTATCCTAAATTTTATTATTCAGAAGAGTTGGTTTTGATTGTTCCTTTTAAATAATTAATTACATTCCATTTGTTTTATTTGATCGAGACATGTTTGACGCCATTTTAATCAGGACTAGATGATTATTAAAATATATGGTTTGAAAATTTTCATTGTATCAATGTGGTTATAAAATCATATATTAATAGTAAAATGAGAAATTTTTAATTTAGTATGTTCATATTTCATCTTTAGACTATAGATATATTTCTTTTCTTTTTAACTATCGAGAATCTATAACGACTTCTGAATTTGAAGATGCGTTTTGTAACTTTGAAGAGAAGAAATAAAATATTCGAATTCAACCTTGGAGCTTGAAGGTCAAGATCTCAAAATTGATTAGCTGAAAACAAACTTTGTTTCAAATTGGTGATTTTTCAGAAGAATCGATGAACATCGACGAGACTAATAATATAAAATTTGAGATTATTCGGGTAAAATTTGAATTAGATTTGGACTCAATTTTGAATAATAGTTCGTTGAAAAGTCGAATTATATCAAAAATCATATATGATAATCATATAGTGACGGATGCGTTATATATAAATTGTTTTTTAAGTTTGGTATTTTGTTGTAATTGTATTTTCTTTTTCGGTCTCTCATGTACGATATCCGCTAGAGCTCGATTATTTCAAATTCGCGCCGCGTAAATCTATTTGAAGGAAGCTCTCTCTAACAAGTGAATTTCACAGTAATCTTTAGGGATAATGCTCAAATACCCCCTCAATCTATGCCCGAAATATCAAAGACACACTTATACTATATTAAGGTCCTATTACCCCCTGAACTTATTTTATTAATAATATTTTACCCCTTTTCGACCTACGTGGCACTATCTTGTGGGTCCAACGATGGTTGACTTTTTTTTCTAACTAGTGCCACGTAGGCTAAAAAGGGGTAGAAAATTACTTATAAAATAAGTTCAGGGGGGTAATAGGACCTTAGTATAGTATAAGTGTGTCTCTGGGATTTCGGGCATAGGTTGAGGGGTACTTGTGCATTTTCCCTAATCTTTAATACGAAAATGGGTCCCTTTTTACTTTAATTCAAAGAAGCAGAATATATACTCGCTGGTTAATTTTTTGCTTAACCATCATATACAAATTATTAGTTGCAAATTATACAAATGCGGCGAATTATACAAATTTGAAATCAATGCAAGTAATTAATGTTTAGTATTAGTCGCAAATGATAATTATAGCAAATTATAACTATAATGACTAATTAAATAATATAAATTTGCTTCACCGCATAATTTTTCATATTTATAAATAAGTTGATAATGTATATGTTTTTATAAAATATCATTTTTTACAAAAGTAAAATCCTTGTGCAAATATCAAACAAAACATGTTAGCAATCATACTTATATGCAAAACTGCAACAATGTGATTAAATTAGAAATTTTGATCTTTATAAATTAGAACTAGTTTCAGAAACGTGCGTTGCCCGTTTGTTTCTTAACTATTTTATAAAATTTGTACTTGATAGACTTCCTTTTGGTAGTTATTCATGTCACATTATTTTAAAAAAGGAAAAATACCCAAGTACCCCCTCAACCTATGCCCGAAATCTCAGAGACACACTTATACTATACTAAGGTCCTATTATCCCCCTGAACTTATTTTATAAGTAATTTTCTACCCTTTTTTAGCCTACGTGACACTAGTTTGAAAAAAAAGTCAATCATCGTTGAATTCATAAAATAGTTTATTTTATATAATTTAATCTTCATGACTATTAAAGAGACTCATGTATAATACAACACAACATCATATAAAATAATATGTAAGATTATGATTCAATAAAGTTTAAAGAATATAATACGATAACAATAATAATACATTCAGTAAATTAAAGTTTCACAAATAGTGAGGTATACAAGTTGTACCAAAAATAATATACTCCATGTATGTTTTCCTAAGAAAATAATACGATAACAATAATAATATATTAAGTAAATTAAAGTTCCACAAGTAGTATGTTGTTGAAGCATTACAAATTGTGACACCAAATCAAGGTTATAATTACAAATTGTCTAAAGTGCAAAATCATTCTTGTTGAAGTCGAATTTGTTGATTGCTCAATGAGGTACGAACAATACTCGTTCAGCTAGTAAACTAGAGCCTACTCTTGTTGTCATGACCCACGAAGATTCAGTCATTTGTCACTCTGAATATTGTCTCCAGAGGAGATTCATCGTTGATTTTTGGTGTGTCCCTAAATTCTATATGGTTTCGTTCATCTTCATTTCTTCTTCTTTTATTCCATTGGTTTGTTGAGATAAAATTTCAAAAAGTGTTTTGGTTTTGGACTTACATTGTGGTAATGTGATTTTTTATGTTTGTCGAAGTTGCATGAATTTTCCAGTTTATGTCAAGTATCATCACTAGTAGTTATCGAATTTAGTTAAACAAAGAGGAACTGGAAATATATAATAATTTAAAACTCAATAACTTAAAAAGAACTAAAATCTCGAGTGTTTAATTACAGAAGAGAAATGAAAACAAGAAAAGTGAATGTACATCACACAATAAAGATACCACATAAAAACATAGAAGCAAGTACAAACATAAAAGAGAAAATCAACAATTTTATGTAAGACTAATTAGGATATGTTTGTCTATTTTACCTTTGTTGTTATCAAATACGAAAAAAAGAGAAATAATATATTTAATTGAAAAAAAGACAATTTTGACTTATTAAGTAACAATTTTTTAGATCAAATTATTGAAGACAGTGATATTTTTGAATCAAACTATCAGTTAAGGATATTTTTGTTTATTTTACATAATTTATAAGAACATAATAAACCCTAAATCCGTTAATTAAATCATCACAAAATCCAAAAAAAAAAAATTGTCTTCCAACACATTAAGAAAAGCCAAAAAACAGAAAGAAATTACACATTGAAAAACCAAAACAGCCAATTAGTTGATTGATGGTTGGAGAAGCCAAGTTGATGAAGGTGAATGTGCAGCTCTTCTCTGTTGATTTAACACAAATATTATTAATTTATATAAAAAAAAAGAGAGAGAGAGAGAGAAAATGAAGAAAAGTTATGTTTGTATATTTACCTTTGCTATTATCAAATACGCTTTACGTCTTTCATTCTCTCAGGAATCTCCTTCAGCTTTGGACAACGATCGAGAACAAGATCTTTAATGAGAGGCATAGCATTTGTGCCTAAATGCCATGTTTCTAGGTGATAAAGCATATAAAGATGAAGAAATTGTAGTTGACTGAAGCTGTTATCACTGCACATTATTTCTTTTCCTTCGTAAGCTTCTTCTTCTAATATGAGATTCCTTAGGTTTGGCAACATTCCCAAGATAGGCATCGGATCTTCTTTCAGTCTTGAGAAATAAAGAGCTACCATTGTGATGGAATTTGGAAACGGAGGCAGTTTCTCTATTTTCCCTCTTAAAAACAATTTTTGGAGCTTTTCACAACAATTAACAAATTCAAGGGATGGGAATGGAGATTCGTAAGTTCCACAGCACAATGTGAGAGTGCTAAGGTTTTTCAAGCTGCTAATGTTGTGTAGGGAGTAAGAATTATTAATTTCAAACATGCTTAATTCTCGAAGATTGACTAAATCAACAGGGTCAACATCTTTCCACTGATCACAACAGATGCCATCAACAACTTGAAGACTGGTGAGTTTGCATATACCTACCAAAGGTTCTGGATACCGCACAACTAAATGTCTTAGATCTATTAGCTCAGTTGTTTCGCTGGGTAACTGGCATAAGCCTTGTGTCTTTAGGACACGAAGTGTTTGTAAATTCTTGAGGTTGCCAATGGATGATGGAAGACGACGGATACCTTTCAACCTTAAGAACTTGAGGTGGTACAAACTCCCTATGGCATCAGGTATAACACCACCTTCTATAATATCCAAGTACAACACATATATATGTCGGAACCCAACTATATGTCGGGACAAATTACAAAAATCTGGATCGAAGAACATAATTGACCTCAACTTCAAGTTAGAAAGATTAAGTGAGAGGTACCTTTCTCCTCGACTATGAATGGCATGTCTGACACATGAAGAGGAAATGGAGTGGCCTTTTGGATCATAAATGTCAAAGAAGTTTACCTCCAATGCCTTTTGTATCGCAAGATCATGGAGTAAATCATGAACTCTACATGAAGTAACTCTTTCCCAAAATGTATTAGCCACTTGAACCAAGCTTCGTCTTATCAACTCATTCAAGAAGCCTTCAGCAACATCCTCCATTCTTCCTTCTCGTCTGGGTATGAAACCCTCAGCCATCCACAACCATATCATGTCATCTGCAGTTACCACTTGATCTTCTGGAAAAATACCAAAGTAGAGAAAACACTGCTTGAGCGCAGTTGACAAATCATTGAAGCTTAATGATAATATGCAGGAGATTTCAATGGATTTATCTTCTTTAATGTTCTTCCAGAGGTGATCTTTCACCTTTTGCCATTCGTTTAGCCCCTTTTTATGCGAAAGTAGTCCGCTCAATACAACAACTGCAAGAGGTAAGCCTCTACACTTTTCCACCATATCCGTAGCTAGACTTTCCATTTCTGGAATCATTGCTCGAACATCAAGCAGTTTCCTACAAAAGAGATCCCAACTTTCTTGTTGACTTAGGAAACGAAGTTTATGAACAAAACCTCTTTCATCTGCTCTTTCAGCGACATCCTCTTTGCGTGTTGTAATAATGACTCTGCTGCCATTCTTGCTATTTGGGAATGCTCTTTTCAAACTCTCCCATGCTTCTTTCTGCCATACATCATCAACCACCACAAGGAATTTGCGTTCTTTTAATAGATCACGAAGATAAATTTCTAGATCTCCTTCTGTCATCCTTTCCAACAAATCTAGAGTTCCCATGGTGCGACCTTGAATGGATTTTATGATAGTCTTAAGAAGATCCATTGTGTTGTACTCTTGAGAAACACATATCCAAGCGCGTGTAGGGAAGCTAGAGGCTATATTAGGACAGTTGTAAAGTTTTCTGGCAAGAGTGGTCTTGCCTAAACCCCCCATTCCGTAAATGGAGAGGACGGTTCGACTAGGCTCTGGTTTGAGAAGTTGAGCTAGCAATGTTTGTACAACATCCTGAAGTCCAACAAAAATGTAATCGTGGTCATCTACATATGAGGTAGTTCTCCTCAATGTTGTAACCTGATCACTTGGCCCTTCATCTCCTGAATTGATATTTGTAATACCATAAGTATCTCGCTTGCGAGAGATATCTATGATTCGCTGCTTGAGTGATTGAATCTCCTCTGCCACGTTGTAGAATTTCTTCTCCTTCCTACAGATGCAAGCGCAAGCCTTGAGACGACTATGAAATCCATCATCATCACCTTTATCAGCCTCAAAGGCGTAAGTCTCGAGTATAGCAACAACATCATTAGCGATGCCGTTGATCTCAAACACCCATTGTTGAACTCTATGATCACCACATTGCTTTAGTTCTGCATCTTTGAGGAAAGACTGTATGAAGAGTAGCTCATTTCTCAACCACTCAATTTCCTTTCTCAGATTTTTACGCAGCGAAACTTGTTGTATGAGAAAATCACCCAATTTTTTAAGTGCAAATGACACAAAGGCATCAGCCATCTTTAGGACTAACTAGTTTTGATTGAAAAAAAAAAAAGAAGAGAAGTCTGTATAGTGGAATACAAGTTGGAAAATGGGAGATAAGCAATATATAGACATAAAAGTAATGTGTTCAAAGGGTCCATTTATCACTTAGCATACCATTATCAAAAAAGAAAAGATGTATTAAAGCTTTTTGAAATTCCCACTAAAACGAAAGGTACTTTTTTTTTAAATTAAAGCATCTTCAACAACCATTACACAACTTAATTATGGAAAAATATATAGAGAGAAAAGTCTTAAAAAGTTAAAGCAACTTCAACGATCATTGCACAACTTGTGGAAAAATATGTATGGAGAAAGGATTAAAAAAATTAAAGCATCTTCAACAATCATTATATAACTTGTGGAAAAAAATAATATATAGGTGGAATGACCTGGAATTCTTGTACTTGACTCCGTTTTGTAAATTGGACGTCTCTAATACTTACGATTTTGGCAACTGAACTCTTGAGCTTAGTGAAATAATATTGATATAAAGAGTAGGAAAATTGAGAATTGGCATTGTCAGTTGATAAAATTATAGGCTTAAGTCATCGGCAGAAAAGTAAGTTTGTATTTTTAATTTGGTTTATTTGACAAAAGATAAAAGTAAGTTTGTATTTTTAATTTGGTTTATTTGACAAAAGATAAAATTTATGTCTTGTTGTTTGTATGAATTCATATACTTCTCCATGCATATTGATTATTAATATATTTGCAATTACATATGAATGAAGCCGCAAGGGATGTTGAAACTGTATATGAAGATGAAGATGTGCAGGAATCTCCATTAATGGAGCAAAGTATGCAAAGATGAAGATGAACAGTGCAGGCGTGAGAGAGCAGACTAGTGAGTTTGTGAGAAGTGAAAATTGTGTGCTATTCATTCCATGTAATGGACTCCTAACTAATTTCATATAACCAACTAACAGAATCTAACTAACTAACTAACTCCTTTACAATGGTATAATTAGTTGAATTAAATATAACTAATCTTAACAAGGGAAATAAGAAATCGAAAAAAACGACCTTAAGAACACAGATTCGTCAAATGAACTTTACTAATAGGTGATCAAATGATACTCAGCAGATTGAAATGCAGGTATGAGTGTGCAATAAACCAGATGTTAAAGAGTAACAAAAAAAAAGGGAAAAGGGTCTGATATACCCCTCAACTTTGTTATTTGGAGCTGATATACCCCTAGTTATAAAAGTGGCTCACATATACCCTTGCCGTTACACAAATGGCTTACATATACCCTTCATTTAACGGAAGTTAAAAAAATAGTTTTAAATTTATATTTATTACTTCTAATTTTTTTTAAAAAAATATTTAGTGGTATATATGATTCTTCTATCAAAGTTCAAGGTATATTTTAATTTTTTTCATACATAAATTATGTTTTTGATTTCTTTTATTATAATTATTTGAGTTTCTTATTCTTATTTTATTTTTTTCTTTCATTCCTTAGTTTAAAGAAAAAAAATTAAACTATTTTTTGTGTGTATTGTAATTTATTTTCGAATTCGAAGAAAAATTTGATCATCTACAGTAAGTTTTACAAGAATATTAGTGAAACATAAATAAATTTGATTATCAAAATAATAATTATAAATTAGTCATTGAAACAAAAAAAACTCAAAAAAAATATGTTTGACGAGGATTAAATTTACTCATATGGGATTATATTATTTAGAAAAAAATAATAAAAATTAGATAAAAACTATTTTTTTTTTCATTTCCGTTAGAGGAAAAGGGTATATGTGAGCCATTTGTTTACAAGTAGGGGTATATATGAGCCACTTTCATAACAAGGGGTATATCAGCTCTAAAAGACAAAGTTGAGGGGTATATCAGACCCTTTTCCCAAAAAAAAATTACCAATAAATTTTAAAAGTTAGTTATTTTAGCCAAATGAGTTAGTTGTCGGATAACCGCAAGTTAGCGGACGTCTTAGGTGCTTTCAAAACCTTCCTAAGACGCTCATAGGAATCCCCGAACCCTCCTAAAATGTTTTCAATTGATTTTTCTGTTTAAATCTTTTTTAAAACAAATGTTTTCTTGATTTTTCTCAAAAATTAAGTGGCGACTCTAAAAAAGTCGAAAAAACATACAAAATAAATGTTTTTCCTTTTTCTTAATAAAACAGCTAGTAACTTCTTTGACTACCTCTTACTATGATGCCACGATCGAGATGAGATGAAGAGTATGTCAAGCAGCAGAATCAACATTTTTCTTGTGATTTCCTTATACTATATATCGGATTTTCAAATTTTTCTCATCTCATCGATCTACTGCAATGTTGTATTTGAGATTTACAAAAGAAATTATTTTCCAACAACTATTTATTATGTATATTATCAAAGTTTCGACAAATTTGAATGAATATAAGATGATGAATAGAGAAGAATAAATGAATTTTGAATTAATTGAAACTATTACCATTTGAGAAAGACTGACAACAAATTAATTAGCTTGATTTGGGGAAATCAAATTCAAAATTGATTCCATTTCCTTTAAAAGCGTAACTAATTTTATTTTAATGTATTAAAATTAATGTATCTAAATTATTTTCTATGTATCCTAATAACACTGATTTTGAAAAAAAAAAATTGTAAATTGAATTGTGTTTTCAAAGGGTCCATTTATGTTTTTAAGAAACGACACATTTTGAAAAAAGAATTTACGATTCGACAATCATTATCAAAAAGAATAAAGATGCTACAAGCTAAGTGAAAGAGACATTTTTTTTAAAAAAAAAAATGTATTAATAGCTTCTTCACTGTTAAATTAAGGACAATGAAGAAAGTTATGCAGTCAGATGTAAATCAAATTGTGTTTTCAAAGGGTCCATTTATGTTTTTAAGAAACGAAACATCAACAATAAAATAAATTAATATGGAGAAACTTATATAAATATACGACAAATAAAAAATATTTATCATTATAGCAATAATATATTTTTTTCATTCTATCACCTTTAATACATTTATAATTTATATTATAAAAGATAATTTATTATTCACATATAATACAAGTTTTATATATTTATCTCATGTTTTAATACATTTATAATTCAATGTGTTAACTTCTTATAAAACACGCATAATATATTTTATAAAATAGTTATAATACATATCATTGCATACTTAATTCATTTTTAATATATATTAAAAATTTAATATAGTATTGTTATAAATGACAATAAATTAAAAATATCGCTAAAATCAGTAATTATTTATTAAAAAGTATCTATCCAAGTATTTACATACAAATTTAATACTAATTTTTCATAGAGAAATTTTAAGTGTTTAGTATTATTTTTTATTATTTTTAAATAAAAAATTTTTTAACAAAAATATTAAATCAAATTTGATCAACATTTTTTCCCCAATAAAGTAATATAATAATGTAGATTAATTCATAAACAAATTTCAGGCTTGGTAACACTCATGATTTAAAATTTAAGTTTTCTTTTTACTATTGCATACTGATATAAATTTAAAGATTTTAAAATAATTTATTTTATATAAAATTGTTATATGTAATTTTCTTAAATATCTTTACTTTAATTTATCTTTTCACAAGTAAAAATTAGAATTAAGAAGTGCCTCTCATTATTACATGAAGCTCAACATGAAATATATCTTAAATAATAACAGAAAAATGATTAGTAATTAATATAACACACTATTTTCTTTATATTCTTTTTCTCAGGTAGAATGATATATATAGTTAATATTTTTTTTCTAAATTCATATCAAAATTATATTTTCTTCGTCTTAATTAATTTTTCTTATTTTTTTAAAAAAAACTTTATATATTTAAAAATTATGTAAAATATGTAATTATAATAATTAGAAATTTATAATAGTTACATGACATATAAAAAAATTAGGTTGACTCTCAAAATTTTATTAATGACACGTAAACGAAGGCATACAAAATAACATATACTATTTGAAATGATATAAAAATATTATAAATCACAATAAATAATACTTTAAGATACTTTTATAATATAAAATAAATTTGATTGACTTTCAATGAAATTATAATTTGAATTATTTATTTAACATTTCGGAGAAATGCCAAAAAAATAAAAATGATTTGGAGTTTAAATGTGAACCTTTTTAGTTTTGGATTCTACTTTTGAAAATTTCTTATATTATTCTAGGGTAAATAAAATAGTGTATGGAATGAATATTGATTTTTAAAACTAAGGCACTGTCCATTAATCTTTTCCTTTTTAACCCATTATTTTGATGTATTTAATTAGTTTCAATTAATAGTATACGAAATAAAAATTACACTGAACAATTAATTAACTAATGAAATTTTAATGAATATATTTGTATTTGTAAGTAAAATTTGAATCAGTGTCACATAAATAGGATAAATGAAGTAACATACATTATTTGCAATTGAGGTAAATAATAATTTAAGTTATAATAATTAACAAACTTAAAAATTCAAAACATATATAATACAATAATTAACAACTTTTAATATCTTAAACAATTAAAAATTGATCGACTCTCCAAATTCTATTTGTATCATATATGACATAAATAATATTGTGAATCGTAATAATTAACAATTTGATAATTTAATATATATATATAATTCACAACTTAAAAATTTAAAAGACATATAGTATTATGTTTTGACTAATACAGAATGTTGTGTGTAGAGTGTATATTTAGATATATAATAATAACCTTTTATATGAAATTAATTGTTTTTCATAACTATGATGAATATAATTTTTTTGTGAATCTAAGAAGGAATAACAAAATACAACAATTGAGTAGATTGAATGTTACACTACTTTAAGAAAAAGAAAAAAAGTATTTTAATTTTTTAATGTTATTAACTTATTAGTATATTAAAAAAATGTAATTTATCAAAAATAATAGTTTTTTATTTAAAAAATGAACAAATATTTGAAAGTTCGGTTGTGACAAAAAAAATATAAATAGAATAACCGATAAAAATCTTAATATTTTGAGAAAAAGGATGATTATAAAAAAAATGCATTAAAATGAAAAAAAAATATGTATTTTGAACTACTTAAAATACAATACTCAAAAAGTATTAGTTTTAAAACTATCATATCAAAATTTGGTGTCAATAATTTTTTATCATGTCTTTTTTTTCCTCAAGTATATTTTTAACAATATAGTTCCACAAAATATAAAAGAAATATTGAATTTCTTTTCTAACTAAAAAATATATTATAATTGCGATGAGTCATATCAAATGAAGTTGGTTTAGAAATGTAATATTGATTGTGATGGTAGGACAAGGGTTAACTGATTAATATGAGTGTATTGTACGTGTTATCTATGAATTTAATTAAGTTAATCATTTTTTTTAATCAAAACATAATATATATATATATATAAAATTGACAAATTCATATAAAATTTTAACTCATAAATTCACATTAAAATCAGAATCTTCAAGCTCCACACTTTAGATATTATGTTACAAACCAATTATGTTCAAAGCAAGAGAAGATAAAGTAAAGCAATTTATGTTCAAACCAATAATTAGAGTCACTCAAAAACAAGAAATCAAACACTAAAACCTCTTAGATTATGAAGACCTAGAAGTCCTCTTCAACAGCTCCACGCATTTCATTCTCTCAGGAATCTCCTTTAAATTTGGACAGTGATCGATACCAAGACCTTTAATGAGAGGCATAGCGTTTGTGCCTGAATGCCATGTTTCTAGGTGATAAAGCATAGAAAGATTAAGAAATTGTAGTTGACAGAAGCTGTTATCACTGCATATTATTTCTTTTCCCAAATAAGCTTCTATTAATTGGAGATTCCTTAGGTTTGGCAACATTCCCAAAATAGGCATCGGATCTTCTGTCAGTTTTGAGTGACTCATAGTCATCATTGTGATGGAATTCGAAAACGGATTAGGCAGTTTCTCTATGATCCCATTTAAATACAATTTCTGGAGCTTTTCACAACGAATTACAAATTCAATAGATGGGAATGATTCAATAAATTCACTAGACAATTCGAGTGAGTCAAGGTTTTTCAAGCTGCTAATGTTGTTTAGAGAGTAAGATTTCCTAATACTATCCATTCTTAATTCTCGAAGATTGACTAAATCAACAGGGTCAATATCTTTCCATTGATCACATTGGATGGCTTGAAGAACTTGAAGATTAGTGAGTTTGTTTATATGTAACAGGGGTTCTACACATGGAACAACTAAATGTCTTAAATTTATCAGGTCAGCTGCCTCGCGGGGTAGTTGGAAAGTGTATGCGCCCTCTACGACAACAAGTGTCTGCAGATTCTTGAGGTTGCCAATGGAAGAGGGAAGATAACGGATAGATGACAAACTTAACAACTTGAGGTGGTACAAACTTCCTATGGCATCAGGGATAATTCCACCAAAATTATCCAAGTACAACACATATAGATATTGGAACACACTCCTGAAGTTTATAAGACTCATCTTACAAAAATCTAGATCGAAGAACATAATTGACCTCAACTTTAAGTTAGAAAGATCAAGTGAGAGGTACCTTTCTCCTTGATTATGTATGCCATGTCTGATACATGAAGAAGATATGGAGTGACTTTTCTGATCATAAATGTCAAAGAAGTTTACTTCCAATGCCTTTTGTATCGCAAGATCATGGAGTAAATCATGAACCCTACATTCAGTAACTCTTTCCCAAAATGTATCCACCACTTGAACCAAGCTTCTTCTTATCAGTTCATTCAAGAAGCCTTCAGCGACATCCTCCATTCTTTCTACTCTTCTTCTGGGTATGAAACCCTCCGCCATCCACAACCATATTATGTTATCAGCCTTGACCACTTTATCTTCTGGAAAAATACCAAAGTAGAGAAAGCACTGCTTGAGCGCAGTTGACAAATCATTGTAGCTTAATGATAGTATGTTGGAGATTTCAATAGATTTATCTTCTTTAATGTTCTTCCAAAGGTGATCTTTCACTTTTTTCCATTCGTTTAGCCCCTTTTTATGCGAAAGTAGTCCGCTCAATACAACAATTGCAAGAGGTAAGCCTCTACACTTTTCCACCATATCCTTAGCTAGACCTTCCATTTCTGGAACCATTGCTCGAACATCAAGTAGTTTCCTGCAAAAGAGATCCCAACTTTCTTCTTGGCTTAGGAAACGAAGTTTATGAACAAAACCTCTGTCGTCTGCTCTTTCAGCGACATCCTCTTTGCGTGTTGTAATAATGACTCTGTTGCCATTCTTGCTATCTGGGAATGCTCTTTTCAAACTCTCCCATGCTTCTTTTTGCCATACATCATCAACCACCACAAGGAATTTGCGTTCTTTTAATAGATCACGAAGATAAATTTCTATATCTCCTTCCGTCATCCTCTCCAACAAATCTAGAGTTTCCATGGTGCGACCTTGAATGGATTTTATGATAGTCTTAAGAAGATCCATTGTGTTGTACTCTTGAGAAACACATATCCAAGCACGTGTAGGGAAACTAGAGGCTATATCAGGACAGTTGTAAAGTTTTTTCGCAAGAGTGGTCTTGCCTAAACCCCCCATTCCATAAATGGAGAGGACGGTTCGACTAGGCTCTGGTTTGAGAAGTTGAGCTAGCAATGTTTGTACAACATCCTGAAGTCCAACAAAAATGTAATCGTGGTCATCTACATATGAGGTAGTTCTCCTCAATGTTGTAACCTGATTACTTGGCCCTTCATCTCCTGAATTGATATTTGTAATACCATAAGTATCTCGCTTGCGAGATATATCTATGATTCGCTGCTTGAGTGATTGAATCTCCTCTGCCACGTTGTAGAATTTCTTCTCCTTCCTACAGATGCAAGCGCAAGCCTTGAGACGACTATGAAATTCATCATCATCATCACCTTTATCAGCCTCAAAGGCGTAAGTCTCGAGTATAGCAACAGCATCATTAGCGATACCGTTGATCTCAAACACCCATTGTTGAACTCTATGATCACCACATTGCTTTAGTTCTGCATCTTTGAGGAAAGACTGTATGAAGAGTAGCTCATTTCTCAGCCACTCAAATTCCTTTCTCAGATTTTTACGCAGCGAAACTTGTTGTATGAGGAAATCACCCAATTTTTGAACTGCAAATGACAGAAAGGCATCAGCCATCTTTAGGAATAACTAGTTTTGATTGAAGAAAAGAAAGAAGAGAGAAGGCTGTATAGTTGAATACAAGTTGGAAAATTGGAGATAAGCAATATATGGACATAAAATTAACGTTTTCAAAGGGTCCATTTATCACTTAGCATACCATTATTAAAAAAAGGGGAAAAAGGTTTCTCAACTTTACAACTGATATATCCTCGTTATAAAAGTGGCTCATATATGTCCTTATCGTTATACAAACGGCTCACATATACCCCTGCCGTTACAAAATGACTCACATATACCCTTCATTTAACGGATTTTAAAAAATTAATTTTAAATTTATATTTATTACTTCTAATTTTTTAAAAAAAATATTTAGGGGTATATATGATTCTTCTATCAAAGTTCAAGGTATATTTTAATTTTTTTCATACATAAATTATTTTTTGACTTCTTTTATTATAATTATTTGAATTTCTTATTCTATTTTGTTTTTTTCTTTCATTTCTTAGTTTAAAGAATAAAAAATTAAACTATTTTTTTTGTGTGTATTGTAATTTAATTTCGGATTCGAAGAAAAAATTTGATCATCTACAATAAGTTTTACAAGAATATTAGTGAAACAAATAATAATTATAAATTAGTCATTGAAACAAAAAATATGTTTGACGAGGATTAAATTTATTCATATGTGATTATATTTTTTAGAAAAAAATAATAAAAATTTAGATTAAAATTATTATTTTTTTCATTTCCGTTAGATAAAAAGGATATATATGAGTCATTTGTTTATAAGTAGGGGTATATATGAGTCACTTTCATAACAAGGGGTATATCAGCTCTAAATGACAAAGTTGAGGGGTATATTAAACCCTTTTCCCTTAAAAAAAAAAGATGTATTAAAGCTTTTTGAAATTCCCACTAAAACGAAAGGTACTTTTTTTTTAAATTAAAGCATCTTCAACAACCATTACATAACTTAATTATCGAAAAACATATATACAGAAAAGCCTTAAAAAGTTAAAGCAACTTCAACGATCATTCCACAACTTGTGGAAAAATATATACGGAGAAAGGATTAAAAAGATTAAAGCATCTTCGACAATCATTACATAACTTGTGGAAAAAAAATATATAGGTGGAATGACCTGGAATTCTTGTACTTGACTCCGTTGTAAATTGGACGTCTCTGATACAAACGATTTTGGCAACTGAACTCTTAAACTTAGTGAAATAATGTTGATATAAAGAGTAGGAAAATTGAGAATTGGCATTGTAAGATTATAGGCTTAAGTCATCGACAGAAAAGCAAGTTTGAATCTACCAAAAGAAGTTTGTATTTTTAATTTGGTTTATTTGACAAAAGATAAAATTTATGTTGAGAGTAACAAAAAAAAATTACCCTTTCGTCTACTTTCTCAAACACTTGTAAGGTTTCCATAAGTATTGGGGACGAAAAGTGCATTAAACTGTTATAAAAGCCTTTACAAAGTATGCTCTACATTTGGCCTCTACTGAATAAGCATAGTCTCTTCGTCTTTTCTACTAAACTATTAATGAACTCTTTCTCCTTGCATTTCGAGAGAAAGTCGTAAAGGCTCAACTTCTTTATCGAGTCTCCCAGCTTTAAAATAGATGGACAGGTCCCCCAAAATCAAGAAATACGGAGCAATTGAAGAGTTGAAGAATTCGGGGCCATTAGGAGTCAAAAAATTTTTATAAGTCATGTGTTTTGTTGTCATTTGGGCATACAAGTACAGGTGAAGTGGGTCAAAACCCAAAAGACAAATGGGCCAAAAATCCTAAACAGGTGGGTCCGAAATTTCGGTCAAGATGGACAAAAACCCGGATTTGAACCCAAATCTCTCTCCCTCTCTCTTTATATCCTCTTAATTATCTGTTTTTATTTGTCTTTAGTTTAAAGTTAGAAAACTCCAAATCCCCCTCGAACGCCATAATGTTTTAGCAACTTAAAATTAACCAAGTTTAAATAGTTTTAAAAAATATTTTTCAATTTATAAGTTTCGCTTAGATAAAAAACTAAGAAACTCACTTTCAAACAATTTCCAATAAATTTTATAAGTTAGTTATTTTAGCCAAATGAGTTAGTTGTCGGATAATCACAAGTTAGCGGACGTCTGAGGTGCTTTCAAAACCTTACTAAGATGCTCATAGGAATCCCCGAACCCCCCTAAAATGTTTTCAATTGATTTTTCTGTTTAAGTCTTTTTGAAAACATTCTTGATTTTTCTCAAAAATTAAGGGGCGACTTTAGAAAAATCGAAAAAACATACAAAATAAATGTTTTTCCTTCTCCAGCATTAGTAGTATTGATATTTGGGAAAAGGGTCTGATATACCCCTCAACTTTGTCATTTGGAGCTGATATACCCCTCGTTATAAAAGTGGCTCATATATGCCCTTACCGTTATATAAACGGCTCACATATACCCCTGTCGTTACACAATGACTCACATATACCCTTCATTTAACGGAAGTTAAAAAAATTAATTTTAAATTTATATTTATTACTTCTAATTTTTTTAAAAAAATTATATATATGATTCTTCTATCAAAGTTCAAGGTATATTTTAATTTTTTTCGTACATAAATTATTTTTTGACTTCTTTTATTATAATTATTTGAATTTCTTATTTTTATTTTATTTTTTTCTTTCATTCCTTAGTTTAAAGAATAAAAAATTAAACTATTTTTTTGTGTGTATTGTAATTTAATTTCGTATTCGAAGAAAAAATTTGGTCATGTACAATAAGTTTTACAAGAATATTAGTGAAACATAAATAAATTTGATTATCAAAATAATAATTATAAATTAGTCATTGAAACAAAAAAAAGTCAAAAAAATATGTTTGACGAGGATTAAATTTACTAATATGAGATTATATTTTTTAGAAAAAAATAATAAATTTTAGATTAAAATTATTATTTTTTTCATTTCTGTTAGAGGAAAAGTGTATATGTGAGCCATTTGTTTACAAGTAGGGGTATATATGAGCCACTTTCATTACAAGGGGTATATCAGCTCAAAATCACAAAATTGAGGGGTATATCAGACCCTTTTCCCTTGATATTTTATGATAGATCTCCTTCTGTCATCCTTTCCAACAAATCTAGAGTTCCCATGGTGCGACCTTGAATGGATTTTATGATAGTCTTAAGAAGATCCATTGTGTTGTACTCTTGAGAAACACATATCCAAGCGCGTGTAGGGGCTATATTAGGACTGGTGTAAAGATTTTTCGCAAGAGTGGTCTTGCCTAAACCCCCCATTCCATAATGGAGAGAACGGTGAAGACCAACAAAAATATAATCGTGGTCATCGACAAATGAGGTAGTTCGCCTCAATGTTGTAACCTGATTACTTGGCCCTTCATCTCCTGAAATGATATTTGTAATACCATAAGTCTCTCGTTTGCGAGAGATATCCATGATTTGTTTCTTGAGTGATTTGATCTCCTTGGCGACATTGTAGAATTTTTTCTTTTCCTTGCTACATATGCAGGCGCAAGCCTTGAGACGACTAGGACGACGTTTACCAGCCTCGAAGCTATAAGTTTCGAGTATAGCAACAGCATCATTAGCAGTAGAGTTGATCTCAAACACCCATTGTTGAACTCTTTGATGCTTTTGTTCTGAAAGAGTGCATGAAGAGAAGCTCGTTTCTCAGCCACTGTATATCTTCTCTTAGACTTAAACGTAGGTTAATTTCCTGTATTAGGAAATCACCCAAATTTTTTATATTACTTTTTGCCTGTACTTTTGTCAAATCAATCAAATTACTAATGTATACTTGACGGGAAAAAAATAAAATCTAGTTATCAATTTGAAAAATATGAATTTAGAACTCTAGTAACTTAAAAAGACTAAAATCGCCGAGTGTTTAAATACAAGAGAGAAATGCTTTTATTTGTTCTCTTTCGTATGGGATTCTTTTTCCTTTTTGTCCAATCCGTTTTCAACCCGCTCATGTTCAATCCAACCTGCCCATTTTAAGTCGCCGTACAAGACCTTGACTCAGCTGCCTCTTTTAGTCGGATACTTATGGAAGTTGCATGGCCTCCTCTGATGGATTCTTTTCCCTTGCTTCTTGACCTTCAAGCTTCGATGAGTTAGCGATGGCTTCTGATACAGCCTTTGGTAGCCAAAATCCAGGTCTTTCAATAGAGGCTGCACGATCAAGTACCAATGGTTCACGCAATGTGATCTGAATGCCATCATATGTCCACATGACAAAATCTGCTTCGCCTTTCAAACCTAGGGAGAACCATCCTAAGCCAGCAACTGCAACATCCATGCTCTTGACATCCCAGCTCGTTCCACGTGCTTTTACTTCCCTCTTTTATTCCATTGTCTCAACTCAGAAACTCGCTCCATGGAAATGGGAGGCTGAAGATCAACAAATGAAAACAGAACAATTAGCATGGTTCTGTGTTCTTTCCGATTGTTTTCCTTTAAACTTGAGTAAATTGAAACCATCTAAGAGCCATCGATAAACCAGAACAATTAGGATTTGTTTACACATACAACACTATGACATCTGCTATCAGGCTAACATGGAACATGGATTTGTTTTTGCAACTACGGCTTCTCATTAGCAAATAATACACATTGATCTTCAACCAAAAACATACTGATACAGTTCGAATGGAATTGGCTATAAAGTAGGAAATAATATTGAATCAGAAATACTGCAAAGAATTGGAGTATTACCTGCAATCACACTCCAGTATGGTTGTTCTTGAGCTCATCGGCATTTCCTCTCTTCCCTAGATGAAGAGGCGACACACTTGGTGATGCCCAGACGGTGACATAGATTGTTTCTACTGAGGCAAAAACTAGATCGAGTCTAACTATGCCCCCAATATGTACAGTCTGCCCACGTGCAAGAAAATTGTGAAAATACATTTTAGAGTCGAAAAGTACTTTTTGATCTCAGGCAAGAAATTGAGTTGCAGTCATGTATATCTTTTAACTGCAATATAAAACTAAAAAAAAAAAAAAAACAGATACAGATGAGGGACGAATAAAAGGAGTTATCTGAATCCCAAACCATTTGATAAGAGGTCAGTTTACAATGATTTAAGGTCATTTTGTCAAATTTCTCTCCATTTCGAAGTTCACAGCACCTCGCACTGGCTTCATCAATATGCATCACAGGATTCTTCAAAGTAAAGTGAAGTAAGCCTTCAGTTAAGAGGAAACTAAAAAATACAAACAACTATCTTCAAACCAATTACGCTCACTCAAAAAGCTTAAAACAATAAGAAATCAAACACTAAGACCTTTAAGTGCTTGGCAGAAACGCCCCCCATCAATACCTTTAAGATTATGAAGAGGCCAAAATAAGACATCATATACACTTGAAAAGCTTCACAACGTATAGTTCCTCTTCAACAGCTCCACGTTTTTCATTCTCTCAGGAATCTCCTTTAAATTTGGACAGTCATGGATACGAAGACCTTTAATCAGAGGCATGGCACTTGTACCTAAATGCCATGTTTCTAGGTTCTCGAGATCATAAAGAATAAGGAACTCTAGTTGACTGAAGCTGTTATCACTGCACATTATTTCTTTTCCTTCATAAGCTCTAAACAAATCGAGATTCCTTAGGTTGGGCAACATTCCCAAAATAGGCATCGGATCTTCTTTCAGTACGGAGAACCTCAGAACCATCATTGTGATGGAACTTAGAAACAGATTAGGCAGTTTCTCTATTCTCCCTTCTAACCACAATTTCTGGAGCTTTTGACAAGAATTAACAAATTCAAGAGATGGGAATGATTCATCATAATTTTTACACACCAATGTGAGAGTGCTAAGGTTTTTCAAGCTGCTAATGTTGTTTAGGGAGTAAGATCTCTTAATATAAGCCATGCCTAATTCTCTAACATTGACTAAATCAACAGGGTCAACGTATTTCCATTGATCACAACCAACACCTTTAAGAACTTGAAGACTAGTAAGTTTGCTTATATGCACCAGAGGTTCTGAATACTGAGCAACTAAATGTCTTAAATTTATTAGGTCAGCTGTCTTGCGGGGTAGTTGGAAAGTGTAATCCGCTTCATTGACAACAAGTGTCTGTAGATTCTTGAGGTTGCCAATGGAAGACGGAAGCTCATCGATACCTCTCAAGCTTAAGAACTTGAGGTGGTACAAACTCCCAATGGATCCAGGTACAACACCACCATATTTAATATTCAAGTACAACACATATAGATGTCGAAACATATCTATATGTTGGAACACATTACGAAAATGTGGATCGAAGACCATAATTGACCTCAACTTTAAGTTAGAAAGATCAAGTGAGGGGTACCTTTGTCCTTGACTATGAATGACATGTCGGATACATACAGAGGATATGGAGTGGCTTGTTGGATCATAAACGTCAAAGAAGTTTACCTCCAATGCCTTTTGTATCGCAAGATCATGGAGTAAATCATGAACCCTACATTCAGTAACTTTTTCCCAAAATGTATTAGCCACTTGAACCAAGCTTCGTCTTATCAGCTCATTCAAGAAGCTTTCAGCGACATCCTCCATTCTTTCTCCTCTGGGTATGAAACCCTCTGCCATCCACAACCGTATTATGTTATCAGCCTCGACCACTTGATCTTCTGGAAAAATACCAAAGTAGAGAAAACACTGCTTGAGCGCAGTTGACAAATCATTGTAGCTTAATGATAGTATGTTAGAGATTTCAATAGATTTATCTTCTTTAATGTTCTTCCAAAGGTGATCTTTCACCTTTTGCCATTCGTTTAGCCCCTTTTTATGCGAAAGTAGTCCGCTCAATACAACAACTGCAAGAGGTAAGCCTCTACACTTTTCCACCATATCCTTAGCTAGACTTTCCATTTCTGGAACCATTGCTCGAATATCAAGTAGTTTCCTAAGAAAGAGATCCCAACTTTCTTGTTGACTTAGGAAACGAAGTTTATGAACAAAACCTCTGTCATCTGCTCTTTCGGCGACATCCTCTTTGCGCGTGGTAATAATAACTCTGCTGCCATTCTTGCCATCCGGGAATGCTCTTTTCAAACTCTCCCATGCTTCTCTCTGCCATACATCATCAACCACCACAAGGTATTTGCATTCTTTCAATAGATCACGAAGGTGAAATTCTAGATCTCCTTCTGTCATAGTTCCTAACAATTCTAGAGTTCCCTTGGTGCGACCTTGGATGGATTTTATGATAGTCTTAAGAAGATCCGTTGTGTTGTACTCTTGAGAAACACATATCCAAGCGCGTTTAGGGAAGCTAGAGACTATATTAGGACTTGTGTATAGGTTTCTTGCAAGAGTGGTCTTGCCTAATCCACCCATGCCATAAATGGACACAACACTTCGACGAGGCTCTGGTCTGAGAAGTTGAGCTAGCAATGTTTGTACAACATCCTGAAAGCCAACAAAAATGTAATCCTGGTCATCCACATATGAAGTAGTTCTCCTCAATGTTCTAACCATGGCAGACTGGTTATTTGGTCCTTCTCCCGCATTACTATTGATATTTGTAATACCATATGTCTCTCGTTTGCGAGCGATGTCCATGATTTGTTTCTTGAGTGATTGAATCTCCTTGGTGACATTGTATAATTTCTTCTCCTTCCTACAGATGCAAGCACAAGCCTTGAGACGATTAACACGTTTACCAGCCTCGAAGCTATAAGTCTCGAGTATAGCAACAGCCTCATTAGCAATAGAGTTGATCTCAAACACCCATTGTTGAATTCTTTGATCTCCACTTTGCTTTAGTTCTGCATCTTTGAGGAAAGACTGCATGAACAGAAGCTCGTTTCGCAGCCACTGTATATCCTCTCTCAGACTTGTAAGTAGGTTAATTTCCTGAATGAGGAAATCACCCAATTTTTTAACTGCAAATGACACAAACGCATCAGCCATATTTAGTTTTGATTGAAAATAAGAGGGGGCTAGCTGTATATTGGAATGAATATTCGAAAATGGGAGATGGAGATCATATACAGTCAAAAGCAATTGACATAAAAGTTTAGAACAAATAATGTGTTGAAAGGGTCCGCTTATGACTTATGTGATTAAAGTTTAGAAAAAAAAAATTACGATTAGTGCAAATGAAAGTTCCCATTATCAAAAAGGGAAAAAAATATATTTTTAAATTTCCCACTAAAGCGAAAGGTACCTTTTTTTTTGGAATATCACACTGCTCCTTGATAAAATATGATTGTTGTGGTAATGGTTGTTAGTTGTATTAAATATATAGTAACTCTGTTTTATCATTTAATCTAACTTTTTTGTATTAGTTTTATTCCACGCCTGTAGTTTTGTCTTTCGAATAATTAATGACAATATATAAACGACAGAAAACAATACAATGTATGTATTTATCAAAGGAGGAATAGGAAAAATATGGATTTAGAAAAGACTAAAATCCCCAGAGAGAAATGAAAACAAGGAATTTTAACAGGTTCCTATTTTCCACTATAATGGCATGTGTTCTCTCCTCCCTCTTGTTTTTATCTGTTCTCCTTCATATGGGATTCTTTTTTCTGTTTGTCTAATCCCTTTTCAACCCACTCATATTCAATCCAATCCGCCCATTTTAAGTAGTCGTCGTACAAGGTTCACAAGAAAATTGACTCAGCTGCCTCTTTTTGTTGGATACTTATGAAAGTTGCATGGTCTCCTCTGATGGATTCTTTTCCCTTGCTTCTTGACCTTCAAGCTTCGATGAGTTAGCGATGGCTTCTGATATAGCCTTTGGTAGCCAAAATCCAGGTCGTTCGATAGAGGCTGCACGATCAAGTACCAATGGTTCACGCAATGTGATCTGAATGCCATCATATGTCCACAAGGCTAAATCTGCTTCGCCTTTCAAACCTAGGGAGAACCATCCTAAGCCAGCAACCGCAACATCCATGCTCTTGACATCCCAGCTCGTTCCACGTGCTTTTACTTCCCTCTTTTGCCATTGTCCCAACTCAGAAACTCGCTCCATGGAAATGGGAGGCTGAAGACCAACAATAAAAACAGAACAGTTAGCATAGTTCTGTGCTCTTTCCAATTGTTTTCCTTCACACTTGAGTAAATTGAAACCATCTTAGAGGCATCGATGGTACGCAAATATTATATAGCCTCTAAAAATTTGAACGGTGAAAGATAGAAACAGAAGATGATGAAAAGGAGCACCAGAGAGCATTGAACAAACACAACTCATTAGATATGCTCAACAATGCAAGTTGTTAAGCTTCCTGGAGCAAATTTTCCTTTGGATACTAACTTGGAAAACATACTGTTTCAATACAATTTAGCATAATTGTGCATTTTTCCCAGAATACTGTATAGTCCGTTATGTTGCAGTATTCCATCCTTGTCCACCGTTTTCTTGATGTGGCTTTAGGAAGTAATGTAGTGCCCACTTGGACAGAAGAGATCATGCATATGAATAGACAGGTTACGGAAGCTCCATGGGGAACTCCCAATGCAGGAGAAAATGGTTAGTATAGTCCCAGCCCTAATCAGTGTTATCAAAACCGAAAAGTGCAAAAAAGCTCTAATGCATAATAGAAAAAGGCGCAGATGACAACACTGACACACACATTAAGTGAGGTGAAGCGCTCAACATGTTTTGAGCCTTTATTCTCAAAAAAAAAACATGTTTTGAGCCTTGCTTCAGGGCTTAAGCGTGCCTTTGACAACTCTGGCCCACAGTTTAAGTGATTCACCTAGTTTTGGCTCTTTGGTCAACCAGCGGGCATCAGAACCTATAACTCAACCATAACTGAAGAACTACTGTCCCCTATGTAAACTTTTGACTGAGACTTATTTCTAACATCCCCTCAAGCGAATGATGCATTGAGCCTCCTCATAAGGCAAAGGTTGGTTTTTTTTTGCCTCTATAGATGCCCATAAAAAAAACGGTTGTAAGCAGATAGAAGCAAGCTTGGTGAGAGCTGCTTATTAGCTGCAAAGAAATGGATGAATATTATATAGAAGATGTCCATTAATAACATCTTAGGAAAATAGTCTTTCTTTGGTTCTTGGTCGATCAAGAGTAAAGGATTTGTTTACACATACGGCATTATGACATCTACTATCAGGCTAACTTGCATCTTGCAACATGTTCTTAGTTGTTAACTTGTTTTTGCATCTACGCCTTCTCTTTAGCAAAGAATACTATCTCACCTTTCATTGTACTTATCTCAAATTTATATACTGATCTTCAACAAAAAACATACTGATGTAGGTCGAGTGGAATTGGCTATAAAGTAGGAAATACTATTGAATCAGAAATACTGCAAAAAGTGGAGTATTACCTGCAATCTTACTCCAGCATGGTTGTTCTTGAGCTCATCAGCATTTTCCGTCTTCCCTAGATGAAGAGATACACTAGGCGATGCCCAGACAGTGACGTAGATTGTTTCAACTGAGGCTTGAACTAGATCCAGTCTAACTAAGCCCCCTATATGTACAGTCTGCCCATGCTGCAAGAAAATCGGGAAAAATACATATAGAGTTGAAAAGTCTTTTTAATCACAGGCAAAAAGTTTGATGCAGTCATATACATCTTTCACAGCAATATTTAAAAAAAAAAAACAGGTAAAGACGATGGACGAATAAAAGGAGCTATCTGAATCCCAAACAATTTGATTAGGGGTCAAAGATTTAAGGTCATTCATCAAATTTCTCTCCAAATAGAAGCCCTGAACCTATTTCTAGAGCAAAGAATCTATAGAACTTCATGTAGAAAGACTAAATATGTACAACTATTTCCGAAATTGGTATATCGGGAACAAAAAAGAAAAAGAGTCGAGTTTCAAGTTAGAGACACCTACTCTCACAGGATTCTTCAAAGTAAAGTGAAGTAAGCTTTAGTTAAGAAGAAACTACAAACTACTCTTCATCTCCGGGTTATACTGGTGGTGGAATCAGATTCTTAAGTTTCACCCATTTGTTTCAAGACTCAAGAGGCAGTAAACTTAGAGTTAAGAAACATAGAATATATTAACCTTTTTGGCAAGTATCAAGCACAACTGCAGAACAATGCTATTGGTAAAGGGAAGCCCAGTGCACTAAGCTCCCACTATACGCAGGGTTCGGGGAAGAGACGGACCACAAGGACCTATTGTTTGCAGCCTTACCCTGCATTTTTGGCAAGTATCAAGCACAACAATGCTATTGTGAAGGGCAGCCCAGTGCTCTAAGCTCCCACTATACACAGGGTTCGGGGAAGGGACAGACCACAAGGACCTACTGTTTGCAGCCTTACCCTGCATTTTGCAAGAGGCTGTTTCCACAACTCGAACCCGTGACCTCCTAGTCACATGTCAGCAACTTTATCAGTTATGTCAAAGCTCCCCTTCTATTGATGACACGTAACGCAATACTGAACTGACACTTTTTACACAGGACGCTTTACTCTAGAGATTTAAAACTCGGTAGACAAGAAAGAAATTCAGAAGAGGAGGAAAAGATGTTCTCCAGTGGAAAAGGAAAAACATATTAATCAATTCTGTGCAGGCCAAAGAATGGAATTTCCAAAAGGCTTTCCTTTCTTTGACAGACCAATTAAAATCTTTAAATATAACAATTACATAAACTGTGTGAGAACATGCATTATTCACCAATCACAACGCACAAGCAAGTCCAGAAAACATACGAATAAGTAAACAGGTAAATTTAAATATATATGCACCAGCGCTAAGTTTCCCATTTCTTAGATTGCAATTTCAAATCAAAGAAGGGTTCTCACGGGATTAACTGAAATACACTTGTACAGATATTTAAAAGTAATTACAAAGTTCAAAGTATTAATTTATGGTCACTAATAGTAAAGTTCAAATAAGTAGCTTATCAAAAAATAGATCATATTATGGGCTGTAAAACGAACGATAAAGTAAATAAGAGAGCTTGCCTTAATCCTATAAGTTCGAGGTTGTAGCTCCTTTCGTATCTCAACCATTTTCTGCTCCTCCCTGTTTAATCGCATGGACATAAGATATGGATGTAGGAGGCCCGGCGTGTCATACATCTTTGCCTTGGCTGACAAAATTCCTCCAATTCTCAGGATTCCCAGAGTAGTTCCAGGTACAGGAGCTTCTGTAAGCTTTGTAGCTTTAACTCCTCCTTTCTTAGCAAATGCATTTATTAATGTCGACTTCCCTGCATTTTGCGCCCCAATAACCCACACATTTCCTCGAGGACCAGCCAATTCTTTTATAAATGCCAGCAAATTTCTAATACCTAAATCTTTACGGGAACTTACCATGTAAACTCCACTCAGTTTAGGTGCTCCATTAGCTTTAGCACGGTGTCGAACCCATTTGTCCAAACGCGCAGGGGAAATTTGAGAAGGGAGAAGGTCAACCTTGGTAGCCACAAGAACAAGCTTTGGCAACTTCTTACTTTGTTTCAAGCCATCTTGGCTTTGTTCTAGTGCCTTAAACAAAGATTTAGCAGCTCGCTTTGGAAAGGAACCATCAAAATCAACACAATCAACCACCATAACCACAACCGTCGCATCAGCTTTCCCAGTAGGTTTCATCAACCTACTCGTAATTAACTGGTCAAAATCAAAATCGGGTATCAAGTTTTCGGCCAGCTCATTCTTCACTTGTCCATAGTTCCTCAATGAATGACATCGAGCACAAACCGTGACCTCCTCTTTCTCTCCCTTAGCCGCTTCCCTTGCCATCCTTTTCCTCTCCGATTTCGACACCCTTTTCTTCTTTCCTTTCTCAAGAACCTCCTGTGTAATGTTACCATAACCTACACCCGCAGGCAAAAAACCATCTAACTCTTTCAAATCACCCTCGGCTTCTTCCAACCCCAATTCCCATTCCTCGGAATCCCAATCATCAAATCCATCCTCACTCCCTGACCCCATTTCTTCACTTCCACCTTCTTCCAACTCCCCCTCAATAAAATCCCCAAATTCCTCCTCTTCTTCATCATCCCCACCTTCACCAACAACAACATCCTCATCATCCACAAAATCCTCTAAACTTTCTTCCACCTTTTTTTTCTTGTAATAACCAGGATGATTTGGGTCTTCATCCTGCATAAAGATTCCACAACCAGGACATATACACCCATAATTCTCATCATTATCCCTCCCTTCACTCAATAAGAGCTTAAAGTTACTATCTTTTCTTGAAACACTACTACTACTACTATCACTTCTCCTTTTTGTTCTTGATTGACTAC